CATGAGCCATGCAGATGGAAACAGTGGTGGAAATAGTGCAGCTCATGCACTGGACAGCAATCCCATCGTGAAGGTTCACATCTCACACATTATGCTATATGGCTCTGCCATGAACTGCTTGTCTGGCCTGACAGGTAAGGAATTACATGAAGCTTGCAATCCAGAAGCCAATACTGATCACTCCTGTTTTCTCACATTCACAGCCCAGTGGCTGAGCTCTCTGATGCCTGAGAAACGACAAGCAGTTGCACTGCCACAGCCATCCTGCTGTCCCCAGAGACCCCAAAGGGAAAGGCAAGATTGGAAGTGAAAACTGCATGGATGAAAAGAGGAAGTTAACACATTAAAATCTCATCCCACCTTTTGGATCTCATTGCATGCTGCCACGACAGCATGGATGTAACATTGAGAAGGAAGATTTTTTCCCCTTCCATTGTTTTCTCTGCTGTCAAAACCACACGCCAGCCTGGCCTTGCAGTGGGTTGCACTTGGGCCTCATTATACGAGCAGGGACTATTGATTCAGCTCACAGACAGTAATCAGTACTTTTCTATCAATAGCTTTGTCATCACCGTTATCGAAGTCGCACATTCCTCCTTCCTACTATAAAACACTGTTAAAAGTTTTCATGTATTCTATGGAATTAAGAATTTGAAACACAAATACAAATAATGATATCAGTTTCAGAGGTAACCCTGATGATGAAATGGCCCTGAAAACCATTCACTGCATGGAATTATTTTAGAATTTCACATAATCATAGAATCAAAATGGCCTGGATTGAAAAGGACCATAATGATCACTTGACAACAACAAGATATTAGAATAAGAAGGAATAATACTAGGTACATTACTGTGGCTTTTAAAATGCATTTTGTAAAGACTTGAAGAAACACAAGTGACGTCAGGGTTAATAATTATCAGCCTAAACTGGTATTTTCGTGTAAATGAAAATGATTTCATATTTCAGCAGATTCCCAGGTGGTGTATTCTGCCATAGCTGCAGTGCAGGATGAGGCAGCTCTAACAATTACATTAGCTGATCCTCTACTTGCCTCTACCAGCTGATGTCTTCCAGTCCCCAGCCTCTAAAGTGAGGTGAGGGGAATATAATTACCTAAGTCAATTCTGCATATGTAATCCTTTTTGCAGAATTCAGACGGAAACCTCACGCATTTGAATAATTTAAAATTAATCCTTGCATTTTGTCCAGCATTTTTAATCAATTCCATCATTTTTGCTCTGATCACAATGTTAAAGTTAGGATTCACTATGTATGTGCAACATTCTGTTCAGAGATTTAATGACTTGACTTTTAGCATTCAGAAGAAAAAAAAAAATCAAAATGCTTCATCATAATGATGTTGTTTTGAATCACATTGCTTTCTTTTGTTTTCTGTGTGTGGCGATAGCCAAAAAAGTGACATAAAAACGGCACCTTAACTAAGCTGCTTCCTGTGTGTCTTTGAGTCATATTCTCCAGATCCGCTGACAAAAACAAGTTTTTACAACTGTTAGCACTGTAGCGGCTGTGCAGCTCGAAGCACAAGTTGCAGCTTATCCTGGATAACGTGCAAACATTGTCATTGGAGTTCCACTGAGGAAAGCACTGTCACTATCGCCTGCGATGGCACGAGAACCAGGAAAATACAGTTGGATTATCAGATTCCCGAGTTCTCAGAACCTATAGATAGGGAAAAAATCACCTTCTGCTTGTGAACGCAGCTTAAGTAAGTACTTATGTGCAACAAAGAAATAAGAAACCCACGCAATTTCTTTTAATTTTTTTAAATATGTCCAAAGTTCTAAGAAAATTTATGTGCTTCACCTGTCTGAACATGAGAAGCAGAATACAGCCAGAATTAAATGAAACAATAAAGCTGTGTCATTTGTTATCCCCTGTGCAGGTTTTGCTGCATGGAACTGCCAACACAAATCAATGGTTCCCATTACTGGTGATAAAACAACAAAATGAGCTGCTGTTATTTTTTGTGGTCTCAAGCCCTTTCTTCAAAAGTTCTTGTTTCAACATCACTTTGCTAGTCAGAAACATCACTCTGAAAGAAACAAGAATTCCTTTCCCCACAACCTCCCCTCCTTTGCCACCCGCTCTCAGCTCTGTTTAATTTGGGCAGTGTTAAATGTGGGCTTTACCCAAAGTAATAGCAGAACTTCTATCGGATAGACAGGCCTAGGACTTTCACCTGACCACACATAATGGGATAGATTGGATTTATCTGTGTATATATAGCAATATATAGCAATACAAGTTTTTATAGCCCCATACTTCAGTGTCACTTGGTGTATGTTTGTACACACTAACAGCACAGGGGATCTCAACACACACTCTGAAAACCACTCCCAGGCTTTGGTGCTGGCAGTTCAGCACTCCTGTGTCAGCTGCAGTCCCCACCAATGCAGGACGAAAGCATTTGGTTAACAACCAAAGTAAATCTCTACCTATTTTTACTTTTTCTGACTCTATCATAAGTCAGTTACCATTCTTTATAAAGAAATTGTAAAGAACACCTTCGTTTGGCAGCCAAAAATGAAGAAGCAGCTGCCCTGTGGCAAAAGCAGCAAGCCGGAGATCTGGATACTTCTCCTGGCTCTGCTGTGACTGACCTTGGCACATCAGATAGACACAACTCCCTCTCTGTTTCCATCACAAAGGGTCTTGCCTGCTATGGAAGGAGAGCAGCTCTTACACGTAAGTTGAGCATATATGCACATGGATATATATATAGATAGATAGATATGTATATATGTGCATACACATGATGGGTTGATGATTGGATTAGTGGTCTATTCCAAGCTTAACAATTCTATGAAACACCAACACAGAGGATAAATATTCTTCAAATTACCCAAAATTCCTGTCACTGACATAAAAGAAGGTGTCAGCTTGGCTTGAGACCAAGGAGGACATGAATCTACTGAGTTTCTCCTTCCACTGGTTATGTGTGTGGAGTTTGGTAGCCTCCATGATAAAGTAACAAGACAAGCAACTTTTTAGTTGGATAGTACTCAGAGGCTACCAATCCTTGCTAGCATCTCTGAAAGTGGGAAAACATCACCTACATTGTAGGATGGATTTCAAGGCTAAGCTGGTAAATATTTATAAGATATAAAGTCTGCCAGATAAATTAGGCTTTAGAAAGACAAAATGTTACTGCTATGCTGTCGGATCTCCAGAGATGACAAACTGCTACAAATCCCATCTAACCCCACATTTATTTCTGTAGAGATTTTCTTCTGCCTTTTCTCCAGAAAAAAAATAACAGAAATATGTCTGTTTCTAAGCTAGCTATATAATCAATAGGTGTACAAAGGTTAGTAAGATTACTGCAACAGAAAGTTAATCAAAACAAATGAAAATGCTCACTGATAGCATAGGCTCACAGTAAACTCCCCAAAGAGCAATCTCCAAAAAGAGAGCCTTCCTCAGTGACAGTCAGCACTTAAATGGGATCTAGGAGAGGTGGAGCCAGGCTCCATCCCTTCTGGTAGCAGAGGTGAATTGTCTTCAGCTGTGCTCCCGTGGTTGACTCATTCCTCGCCTCAGGTGGTCAATCAGAGGTTCAGGCCGTGATCAACAGTTCCCATACACTAGCTATATATTAAATACACAAAGGTTACTTCTTTTTCCCATTCTTATTAGATCCACTCATGACTATATCAAGATCTTAAGCTGTGATAGGACAGGGGAAATGGTTTCAAGCTAACAGAAGGGAGATTTAAACTCAAAACCCAACAAAAAGATGTTTTTTACAATAAGGGTGATGAGGCACTAGCACAAGTTGCCCAGAGAGGTGATGGATGCCCCATCCCTGCAGACAGCCAATGTCAGGCTGGGGGGGCTCTGAGCACCTGATGGAGCTGTGGGTGTCCCTGTTCATTGCAGGGGGGTTGAAGTAAACAGCCTTTAAAGATCCCTTCCAACTGCAATGGTGCTACAGTTCTATGAACTTCCTCGTATTCTTGACAGTGACTGCAGTGATTTCTGGGCAGAAAAAGCACATTCTGAGGGCACAGGCTTCCACTCTCCATCAAGTGAACCTTCAGAGCTGCAGCAACCCCAGGCTTCAAGCACACGTGAGCTGCCCTCATCACACGCGCACACTCCTCTTTGGACCCAGAGACACAGCAGGAAGGCAGCAAGACACTCAAGGCCCAAACCCGCTCTGCACACACAGCAGGGAAGCTCCCTGACCGTGAGCAGCCCTGCTCTGCCTACAAACGGGCAGTGGGCCTGACCCTACATCCCCACAGCCTCTCTGCGGACGAGGGCTCCTATTTAGCGACACGTTTCCACCGATGTTCCTTCACGCTCCCTCTGTTCACACCACTTCCATCCAGCCCCGCCCTCCCAGCCACCCCAACCCCCCTCCAGAGTCCCACTCGAGGCCGCGCCGAGGAGGAGCCCGCTCAGAGCCGCACAGGGAACGGCAGAGCCCGGCTCCTCCCCACCCCGCCCGGCCCGGCCCCTAGCAACACGCCGCCGGCCTCCTCGCCGCGGCCGGGCGCGGGGCGGGCCCTTCCGGTTCATGTCGGAGCTGGGCTCGGCGCGGAGGAAGCCGGGCGGCCATCTTGGCTCGTCAGGGAGCGGCGGAGGGGCGGGGGGCAGCTGGCGGCTGGTAGCGAGCGCGGGAGGGAGGACGGAAAGGAGAAGCGGACGGGCGGGCGGGCAGTTACCGTTCCCAGCCCGCCGGCGGCCCACGGGGTGTCGGCCTTAACCGGGCGCGGGGCGGGATGCGAGGAGCGGTGGCGGCCCGGTGAAGCGGGGGCAAAGAGCGGGGAGCCCACCCGGTGGGCGGCCTGCGCTCAGCCGCCGAGGGGCCGGCGAGACGGGCCGAGCCGCTCCGCTTCCCCGGCAGCCCCTCCGCCGTCCCCTTCCCCCGCCGTCACCGCCCGATGAGGCACCGCCGCTGAGCCCCCCGCCCGGCCCGGCTGAGCGTAGGATGAGCCCGCGGCAGGCGGAGGGCGAGAGGCCGCCCCGCTCCCTCGGGGGGATCTAACGCGGCCGCGGAGGCGGGGGGACACGGAGCGACGCCGCCCCCCGGCACCTCGTCCTTCATGGTGGCTTTCTGCGCCCGACGCCTCCCAGCAGAAGCGCGGCCCGACCCGGCCCGGGGGTGGTGTGCGAGTGCGAGTGCGCGCCGCGGGCAGCGCTGGTGCCCGAGCGAGGGAAAATGTCCACTCGGACTCCATTGCCCACGGTGAACGAGCGCGACACCGAGAACGTGAGTACCGCAGGCGGGGGGACGTCGCCCCGAGCGCCGCCTGCCTCCGTCCCCGGGCCGGCTTATCCTTACGTTTGTTCTCCTTTCTAGCCCGTTGAGCGCCGCGTGCCTCCCGGCAGACCCAGCGGCCTGCTCGGCTCTGCCGCCGCATCGCGGCGTCTCGCAGGAGCGGGGCTGCGCGGGTCCCTAACGCGGCAGGGAGGAGGAGGAATCCCGCCCCGGTGCTGCGCGCTCAGTGCCCGGAGCGGCCGCATCGCCTCGGAGCGAGCAGATGGCGAGCGCTGAGCGTCGGGAGGGGTGGGCGAGGTGACCTACATAATGGGCCTCTTCCCCGCTGGTGTGCGGGGTTCTGCACGGCGGTGACGCTGTCGGGCTCCGTCACCTGTGCCGATGGCACGGAAAGGTCCGTTTTATTGAAATCCGCTTCCGATCCAGAGAGCCTGTTCCTTTTTAATTATGTTTTTCTTAGGTTTTATTGACGAGATCGAGCCGAGCCGCTGTGTTAACAATCGCGCAGGTCATAGGCTAAAGGGGAAAAAATACAGAGGTGGTACCGCATGAGCAGGCAGCCAAAAATGAAGCTGGGTGGGAGCCTCCCTTTTTGCAAATAAGAGCTGTGCTTCTTCTGTATGAAAACTTACTTGATCCCGGGGTAATCCTGTCTGAGCGTTTTTCTCTTTCATTGCTGGGGGAAAATGCAGAGGCTGTGCAGAAGGGAGTTGTCAGTTGCTGTAGCCTGAAATGAGTCGATGGGTGAACTTGGTATTGAGCTTTCTGTAAAGGCTCTCAGGGGCTCTATAGAGATGAGATTCTTAACTTGACAGAGGAGGGTTTTTGTGAGGGCTTGCATATGTGTCTGACATAAAAGGTGGAAACTTTGGTTACAGATCAGGAAAAACTGTTGGATTGTTCAGCCCATAAATAGTCTAAGGAAGGTGATGGTTGCCCCATTGTTCAAAACAAGACCAGACAAAGCACTGGAAAACACGCTGCGTGGAACAATTACTGCATTACGAGGGATTTGGATTTTATTGACATAATAGGCACTTCTAACTTCTGTGATCTTTATTTGTTTTAGCACTAGATGCAACCTGCAGGCTAAGGGCTGCATTGAACAAAAAGCCAACTAAGCATGTTTGGTTGTAAAATCTCAGTGAGCTTCCTGCCTTGTGGAAGAAAATAATTAAAGTGCTATGTGACTCTTCCTATGCCGTGGGGAGAGGTGATGCAGCACACTCCAGAAAATACAGAGTTTATTCAGATAATTATTTTGTCTGTGGATAAACCTTACTGAGACTTTGGAGCTCCAGGTATACGCATGGAGGCCTTCCAGTAAATCCTTTTAGGTGCTGCTTAGATCAGGTTCTCCAGTGTGGTTAACTCCAACCCCGCTATGGATAGCTTAATGGTAGAAAGACTTAGCATGTGCTTGATGAAATGCATTATTCACAAGCAGAGTGTTTTAGCACTTGAAGTTAGGCTTTACATATCTTCCACTTAAGGCACCTTGTTCTCACTTCAAAACGTTGGTCTGACACTTCTCTTTAGTCATCTCCATAATTTAACATACAGGGATTGTCTGGCTTGCAGATGAGTCGCCTTAGGTTTTGATTAAGGCATATCTTTCAACTGCTGTGCTTTGGCTGGCGACCACAGAAATACCTGTAGGTAGTGATAGTGGCAGGAGGCAACCAACATGAGTCGCTTCCAGATCCGTTGCAGTGATCCCACAGTAAGGTGCTGCAGCCCTGGAGTAGCCCTCTCTCATGTTCTGACTGTTGGTGATCCAGGACTTCACCAAAATGGATACTTGCTTTGCCTTTTTAAAATTTCAGTCCAGGTTTAGTCTGGGTGAGTTACCCATAGGCTGGAAATGGATACAAAATTAACTGTTTTATTTTTAAATACAAAATGTAGCATTTTTGATGCATCAACTAATTGTTCTTCCAGCCTGAAGCCCAATGCTGTGTTTTCACAGGTGAACGGAACCCTTGATTTTCTTCCACTTAAGAGAAGTTAGTTAATATTCATAGGACTCTTTGAAGTTCAGATAGCTTAAGAAGTGCCAAGGTGTTCAGCCAGCCTTTGGGGCATGGCGGTGGACCCTCTCAATGCTGTTTGGAAGATTACCACTGCTAAGAAAGCCTTGGCTGGTGCTGAATGTGGTATAAGTGAGCTGATCGTATTTTATCCATGCCTGTACATGCAGTTTTGAATGTGGAGTTAGCCTCCAGAATGATGGTGCATGTAAATTATTGTCTATACTTGCAGTTAACCACGTTCAGCACTTGGCAGTTCCTGTTAAATAGACAAGGTCTAATTGTCAGCACTTGATTTTTTTTCTTTGAAGGTGGTGGATAGCACTGAGGTGCTTCATCATGCACATACTGCTGAAGTGGAAATGCTGTCACAGTGACTTTCCCCCAAAGCCACTGGCAGCCATCAAGCTGTAAGTGCCTCAGATTAAAGAATTTGGCGAGGAGTCACCTGGTGTTGAAAGGAAAGGCATCCCAGATGATCTGTGATCATAGGAACTTCACACTTGGGCAGTTGGGAGCTGGCTGTTTGCCTGCAAATGAGCTGGCTGCTCACCACAAAGGTGGAACAGCTCCTCACTGGTGATGTCTTTCACAGCAGTGACTGCCAGCTGCTCAGGGGACACAAGTGAAGGAGAGGTTCTCAGAATTGTCTCCCCTTCTCTTCTGCCATCTGCAGAATTGTGTCCTGCACATAAGAGAAATGGCATAGACCTTCATCCAAAACTGGAAGTGAAGGGTCAATGTAGAAGAAGGACTTCTAGGGAGAAAAGGATGAGCAATCCTATTTTAATAGTGATGAGGGGAGAGAAGATCCACGGAGGAAGAAAGAGTGTGGAAAGATGGTAGATGATGGAAAAGAGGAGCCACAGAGGGTTGTGCGTATGACAGGATGGAGGACAACCAGGAACAAAGAAATAGGAGCAGGAGGAGTGAGGTCCTGGAGAACAGGACAAATACCCATAAAAATTCCCAAGGAATGGCAAGATGTTAGTGTCGATAGAGAGAAGGAAATACAGGTGGTGTGGAAGGTTAGTTTAGTTTTTTTTTTAAGAGCATGAAATAGCAAAGTTTTAAACTGAAGTATTTAATTTGAACCTCTGTTAGTTGCACAGCTGTGTTTCTGAGGGGAAGAGAAGGTAATGTCAGTGCTGCAGACCATTCTGAATTCCAAATGTAAGTAATTTGAGTAAAAGCGAGACTAAAATATGCTCTTCTCTCCACAACTGTGTCTAATGTGAAAAATTTGCTATTGAACAACGCCAGTGTGATGGCAACTGTGCTTGTACAAGCCTGTACAAAAGGATTCTGTGCAGGAAAAGTGTCCCATTGAATTTTTTATTTAAAGAAGATTTTGTAAAGTTGAGAATAGATTCAAAAATTTACTTTTAAGGTACTGTAAAGCTTAGTGCTGCCTCTTGATTTATTATTACCAGTTAGATATGAAATGCATTAGAGCATTTGCAGACAATAGACAAGCTGGCATTATTCTATATATTATTTATCAGACTTCTCCTATTACGGGTAGATCCGTAATCAGAATGATTTCCTCCATGGTGTGGTTTTTTAAGAAGGGGATGATGAGGGCAGCATTGCCTGTGCTCTACAGTCGTGGATTTTCTTTTACAGGGACAGCTGTGACAGTTCTCTCATATTTTTCTCCAGTATAAAAGTGCTGAGTTAAATTGGGTAAAGGTGGAAGAATATCTAAAAGTAAATATTTTTAATCACTTCATCTGGGGTGTATTTTTATTTTTATTATATTATTTATATAATTTTCAAGAGCAGAAATGTTTTTTGTACATTTCTTAGTGCCTAGGATACCTGATAGCCCAGTACCATGGTGGTTGTACTCAACAACAACAACAAAAACCAATTAGGCTGTGTAGTATTGCCATCAAAAGGGGACAGTTGATGCTTCTGCCCTGCTGAACAACCTGTGCAGTATCATCTCATCACTGTCAGTTCCACCGTTGTAAGGCTGCTGCAGGAATCAGCCTTGGCTGCCCCTTCCCACCCGTGGTTTGTGTTGGCGCTGATAATCACGGAGCTGTACAACAAGTCTGGTCAGCTGTGTGATCTGACTGAAATGAATCCTTTAAAACAGTGGTTTTATTTCTGTTTTGTGTGGCTGTTAATACTGACACAAAGGAGAAAAGAGGACCATCCAGTTCAGATGGGAAAGGCTAGAAACATGTCTTAGAATTTTGGTTCTACTTGGTTTAAGCCAGCCTAAAGGCTAGGACAACTTAAAATAGGGTTGTTTTTTCTCTTTAACAAATGACTGCAGTGGTGCACCATTCAGATTGTGTTCTCGTGCTACTACCAGCTCACATTTTATTTATCTTTTACATTGTTTCAGTAGCTCAGAAAAACAGAATGTGGGAACCATATGCCAGAATTAGTTAGAAAATCAGACTTGGTGTTCCTGTTTTATTTATTAATACCTCTCAGTGTGGCTTATTAGAAGAAGCAGTCTGTAGAACAGAACGCAGCTATGGAAATTACTGAAAGAAAACGGAAAGAGCAGATCTGGTTTTTAATACCCAAAACTTAGTAGACTTCCTCCTAAGATTTCTTACCAATTCACTCACCTGCCAGATTCTCTGTTTTAATTCTAGTTGGGAACATTCCTGTTGATGTGAGCAGACAATCCCCAGTGACCACACATCACAGGTGACTTAAGCCTGAGGAATTCTAAGAGTGGAGGCATTTGTCTCCCTAATCTCCGTTTCATGTGATATTTAAATAGCATGCGTCTGCAACTTCCTCCTCCGCCAAGTAATGCTGCCTTGTTGGTGGCAGCCGGATCAGAAATGGAGGTTGCTTTGGTTTTGGCTTGTGTCGTGTCGAGGTTGGCTCTGCTTAATGTGGAGATCATCAGCCTCTAAAAATCACTGAGTGTGTATGAGGAATAGAGGCCTACTGCTGCTAAGGCATAGGCCTGAAAGGTGCTGAGCACAC